CGGGAGGGGAGGAGGGGCTATCGAGGGAGAGGGGGCAAGGAACAGGGGGGGGGGGAACTGGGAGACCTTGGTGAGGGAAGCGACGGTAGAAGGAGACGGACTCGTCAAAGGTGACGTCACGAGAGTGGAGGAAGCGGTGAGACTGCGGGTGGTAGAAGAGCCAGTCAGACGAGTCCAGGGGGAAACCAAGGAAGACACAGGGGACAGTGCGGGCAGTGAGCTTGTCCGTGCCAGAGGCACGAACGTGAGCAAGGCAGCCCCAGACGTGGAACGCAGACGCGTCACCGGGGGACCTGGTCCAAAGGAGGGTCGGCGAAACCTGCGGCCGCTGGGAGCGTGGCCACAGGTTAAGCTGGTGAGCGGCGTAGCGAACGGCGAACGGCCACAGAAAATGGGGTGCACTGGCATGGATCATGGAGGTACGAGCCACCTCTATGACCAAGCCGATGCGGCACTCAGCAACCCCATTCTGCTGTGGCGAGTCCGGCAAGGTGTACGACTAAGTGATGCCCTCCGCACGACAGAACTGTCCAAGCCGACCAGAAGCGAACTCTCCGCCACGGTCAGAGTGGAGACACAACACGGGGAGACCGCAGTGAAGACACGCAGCCACAACCCACAGGAGAAGAACGTCGGGCACATCGGCCTTCCGCTCCAGGGGAAACACCGTGGTGTAGCGCGTGTAGTCGTCGACGAGCACAAGAAAGTAGCGCTCGCCACACGGTCTGGGGACAGGGGCTGGGCCCCAAACGTCCAGGTGCAGGGTCTGAAGGGGAGCAGTAGCAGGGTGAAGCGAGGAGGAGTGAGGGGCACGGTGGAGCCGGCCCTCGACGCAGGGCGTGCACGGTGGAGCAAGCGAGAGGGGAAGGGCGGGGAGCGACGCAAGGAGGCCTAAGACAAGACCGTGCTGGGACATGTGACACAGACGCGGGAGTGCAGGGTGACCTAGGCGGTGGTGCCACAAAAGGGACGGGTGAGTGAGAGACCGACACGAGCAAGCTGCAGCGACCTGGGAGGATGCACCAACCGGGGGGGAAGCAGTGTCTAGGGTGAACAGTCCGGACACCGGGTCCCGGGGGAACGTAGCAAGGGGGGAACCTGAGACAGCCTCAAAACAGACAGCGAACCGCTCGTGCCCGAGGAACGCCGAGGTCCTGAAGACAGCCGACACCAACCAGGTTCCTCGAGAACGAGGGAACGTGGAGGCCTGTAAGAGAGCCCGAGGGAACTGCTGGACAGGGAAGGGACGTGGAACTGCAGGCGCCCGAGCGACGATGGGACCCGCAGAGGGGTCAGCAAGAGAGACAACAGCAGGCGCAGCAAGCGGCGTAAGCGTGGAGCGGTCGCGGAAGAAACAGGCAGAAGCACCGGAGTCGAGAGTGAAGGACAGCGAGGCAGTGGCGGAGGCTGGGAACGGAGCTGGTGCAGAACCTAGGCTAGGCAAACTAGGCAGTACTACGCCTGACACAGCAGGGGAGGCTAAGCTATACAAGGGTGAGACACCTAAACTAGAGTACACAGGGTAATAAGATCCAGCAACACTAGAAGCGTCAGCATACAAAGCATGTAAAGCAGGACCAATCTGATCCATATCTAACTCAAAGATCGGCACGCCCTGGCGAAGCAGGCTGTGCCAGTCGGGGAGGTCCGGGGCCGGGCCAAAGCGACGACGAAAGAGATCGTCGAGGCGGCGGAAACAGCGGGCGGTCGGGTGCGGGCGGCGGCACAGAGTGCCGCGGAGAGGCCCGGTCTGAAGCTGGTACTGGCAGGTCACAGCACTGGAGCTGCCGGTAGACGCCAAGCTGCGGGGGCCACCACCTCGGCCACCACCGCCGGAGGTGCCGGGCCAACCAGGTGGGAGACGAGCCCACGTCTGCGACGGCTACTGCTGGGACGGCGGCGGCTGGCGCTGGGGCTGCTCCGGCTGCGAGGGCGACTGTGTCTGCTCCTGCCCACCGGTGGTAGTCCCCTCAGTTGGACTACCGTAACCACCACCACTACCACCACCACTAGTGCCACCACCACGACCTCCCTGGCGGCCACGGCCACCGCGGCGCGGACGCTGCTGCGGGTGGACCGCAGCTGCCGTCTCGGTAAGAGGGGTCGCAGTGGCGACCGCAGCCGAAACGTCAGTAAACGTGCATTGGGAGGGGGCACAGCCGTAAAAGATAGAGACTGCCGGCGCACCGCTCAACTGAGCGATAGTGTGCTGGCGCGTCTCGATCTCAGTGAGGGTGTCGACAAAGGCGGTCAGTGTGAGGTCACCCGAGTGCTGGCTAAGGAAGCGGTCACGGGTACTAGCTAGGCGGTCCGGCAGGCGCATGGCGATAAAATAGAGGGTCATGCAGAATGGGAGGGGGAGCGCAGTGAGCTGGGCAGCAGTGCTGGCAGTGCGATAGCGAGTCTCTAGGGCACGCAAGTGAGTTGCAAAGTCTGCGACAGTAGGGAAGGCAGCAAGGTCTGGGAACAGCATCGGGAAGAGCAGGCGGCCGGCAGAAGCGGATGCAGGTGTGGAATAGCGAGCATTAACAGCGTCTAAATAAGCTTTGGCCGTATGAACTGTAGCGAAACGCGAGCGCTCAGACACAGGGAGGGCGTGACTGATAGCAACCTGAGCTACTGCATCGCGTGAGTCCCAGACCACACAGGCAAGCGCAGCAGTAGAGAAAGCCTCACTCTCAGCGGAGGTGGGGTCAGCAGGGAGGGGAGCAGGTGCAGGGGGGCGAGGGAGCAAGCCATCAGCATGGACAACCAGCGAGTGTCCATCCTGGCGCTGACCTGTAAGCTGACGGCGGAGATCGGAGAGCCAGGCGACGAAGTCAACCGCGTGGCCCTCAGCGTCCAGGCGGAGCACGAAGTCAGCCATCGTGCAGGGTCAGTGACACAGCTCCTCATCGACACAGCGGCACAGCTCCACAGCTCGGCAGGAGCACAGCGGCACGGGGACACGGCGGCAGCACTCTCCAATAGGGCGGCTGCGGGGCGCCCCGGCGCGGGCTAGCAGAGGACACGGGGCCCGAGGTGGCACGGCAGGCCGAGAAGGCACGAGGAGGGGCCAGGCGGGCAGGAGGAGGGGCCGGGCTGGCGCTGAAAACCGGGCAGGCGTGACAGGGCCGGGCTGGCGCTAAAAGGGGTCGGGCGGGCGCACTGGGACTGGCGGGCAGTAGGAGAGGCCGGCCGGCGCTAGGAAGAGGCCGAGCAGTTGCTGCTGGGGCCGGCTAGGAGCGGGCTCGACGGTCAGTGGGCCGGCCAGGTGCGGGCGCGACGGCCAGTGGGGCCAGCTAGGGCCGGGCGCGAACGGCCAGAGGGCCGGCTAGGAGCGGGTGCGAACGTCCAGGGGGCCAGCTGAGGGCGGACGCGACGGCCAGGGGGCCAGCTAGGAGCGGGCGCGACGGCCGGTGGGGCCAGCTAGGGGCGGGCGCAACGGCCAGGGGGCCGGCTAGGAGCGGGCGCGAACGGCCATTGGGTCAGCTAGGGGCGGACGCGACGGCCAGGGGGCCGACTAGGGGCGGACGCGACGTCCAGGGGGCCGACTAGGGGCGGACGCGACGGTCAAGGGGCCGACTAGGGGCGAACGCGACGGCCAGGGGGCCGGCTAGGGGCGGACGCGACGGCCAGGGGGCCAGCTAGGAGCGGGCGCGACGGCCAATGGGGCCAGCTAGGGGCGGGCGCGACAGCCAGGGGGGCGGCTAGGAGCGGGCGCGAACGGCCAGGGGGCCAGCTGAGGGCGGACGCGACGGCCAGGGGGCCAGCTAGGGGCGGACGCGATGGCCAGGGGGCCGACTAGGGGCGGACGCGACGGCCAGGGGGGCGACTAGGGGCGGACGCGACGGTCAAGGGGCCGACTAGGGGCGAACGCGACGGCCAGGGGGCCGGCTAGGAGCGGACGCGACGGCCAGGGGGCCAGCTAGGAGCGGGCGCGACGGCCAGTGGGGCCAGCTAGAGGCGGGCGCGACGGCCAGGGGGCCGGCTAGGAGCGGGCGCGAACGGCCAGGGGGCTAGCTGAGGGCGGACGCGACGGCCAAGGGGCCAGCTAGGGGCGGACGCGACGGCCAGGGGGCCGACTAGGGGCGGACGCGACGGCCAGGGGGCCGACTAGGGGCGGACGCGACGGTCAAGGGGCCGAGTAGGGGCGAACGCGACGGCCAGGGGGCCGGCTAGGGGCGGACGCGACGGCCAGGGGGCTGACTAGGGGCGGACGCGACGGCCAGGGGGCCAGCTAGGGGCGAACGCGACGGCCAGGGGGCCGACTAGGGGCGGACGCGACGGCCAGGGGGCCAGCTAGGGGCGAACGCGACGGCCAGGGGGCCGGCTAGGGGCGGACGCGACGGCCAGAGGGCCGGCTAAGGGCGGACGCGACGGCCAGGGGGCCGACTAGGGGCGGACGCGACGGCCAGGGGGCCGGCTAAGGGCGGGCGAGAGACGAGGGCGCGGGCGGAAGCGGGCGGGGGGACCTAACCTACTCGATACCATGTTAGAATAAGTGAATGATTACTAGAAGGAGAAACCTAGAACATATACCTGCTGGGTTGTACTCACTAGAAGCACACACCTAGTCTAGCCTAGAACTTTTACATAGAACATATGTATAAGTTGACACTTACAACTAAACTCAGAATTGCTATGAGGACATCTTGTGAACTGAAATTGTTGAACCTTTGCCCTAGATTGTTCGTCATTTAGGGCGTGGTATTTTTCCGGAAAATGAATAAGTTCGAACGCCAACCGCACTGAATCATAGTCAATCCGACATAACCACACAGAATAGTGTACAACCTTTCTAAAAGTTCGAACTTCAGGCTTCGGTAAAAAATGTACCATGCCCTTAGGCATGCTGTTTTGTCTATCTCATGCTATGTGTTTTTTTACAAGTGTGCACTTGTAACGTTCTGTCCAGTGCCCAGAGTTGTCGTCGTCGTTACCACTCGTTCGCTCGCGGTGGGCTACCACCACCAGATTGAGCATTTGCGATTTCCCAACCAACCAGCCATCTGAAGCTCCTCTCCCCGCGCGCTGTCCTTGAATGCGCCTCTCACGGCCTGCTCGCTTCCTCTTCCTCGTGCTTACCTCTTCCTCCCCTAACTTAGCCGTCTCGCGCCACCAGGGCCGCGTCCTGCCGCCACTATGGTAGGTCTAGCTGCAGGTCAGGCCGCCCTTAACGCCACACCGCTTAGCGCTATAAGTTGTCGTTCCTGCGCGACTCGTTTGTTTAGCATCGATCGGAGTGCGCGGGACAGGCATCGCGCTTTTCTAATTGAGGAATTGTTTTATGCGTTGTGCGTGCTTGTGGGCGTTCGGCGTGCTTGTGGGCGTTCGGCGTGCTTGTGTGCGGTGGCGTGTGCTTGTATGCGTTGTCCGTGCGTGCGTGTGTGCGGGTTTGGTTGGTAGGCGCTCGTAGCGAACGAGGGGTTTCAGCACATTCTGCGCGTGCTCAACACGAACGTGGACGGGCGCACCAAGATCATGTACGCGCTCACGTCCATCCGCGGTATCGGCCGCCGCTTCGCCAACATCGTCTGCAAGAAGGCGGACGTCGACCTCAACAAGCGGTACGCCCTGCTTGCACTCCTGCGTCCGATCTCTCTCACTGCATCTCTCACGCTCACTGCAGCTCTCACGCGCGCGGCATGTCTCTGCATCTCTCACACTTACTCCGCCCCATCTGCAGTGTTGACGGCGAAACGTTACTGGCTCAGAAGCACCGTTGCGTGGTGGCTTTTCCATTTTAGGGTTTCTTCAACATCTGTTGCGTTGGCCCTCACTGGTCCGCTAATGCCCGTGCTTCTGTGTCGTCCCTCTGCTTCTCGTGCGCGTGTGTGCGGCGGGCGCGCGGGGGCTGGCAGGGCGGGCGAGTTGTCGGCGGCGGAGCTGGAGAATCTGATGGTCATCGTGGGCAACCCGCGGCAGTTCAAGATCCCGGACTGGTTCCTCAACAGGCAGAAGGACCACAAGGACGGCCGTTTCTCGCAGGTGGTGTCCAACGGGCTCGACATGAAGATGCGCGACGACCTCGAGCGCCTCAAGAAGATCAGGTCCGTGCTCCCATGTCAATGTCGAAGCGCTTAGGTCCGTGCACCGACGTCGAAGCGGTTAGGTTCGTGCACCCATGTCGAAGCGGTTAGGTCCCTGCACCCATGTCGAAGCGGTTAGGTACATGCAGCGCGCTCAAGGCGCTTATGTCTCTCCGTTAACCTCGTCAACACGATCAGGTCGTTCCGTTAGGCAACGCATGCAGGTGTTCTGTTAGGCAACACGGCAGGTGTTCCGTCAGGCAACACGGGCAGGTGTTCCGTCAGGCAACACGGGCAGGTGTTCCGTCAGGCAACACGGGCAGGTGTTCCGTCAGGCAACACGAGCAGGTGTTCCGTCAGGCAACACGAGCAGGTGTTCCGTCAGGCAACACGGGCAGGTGTTCCGTCAGGCAACACGGGCAGGTGTTCCGCCAGGCAACACGGGCAGGTGTTCCGGCAGACAACACGGGCAGGTGTTCCGCCAGGCAACACGGGCAGGTGTTCCGGCAGACAACACGGGCAGGTGTTCCGTTAGGCTCGTTGGCATGCCTAAGTGGGTCCGATAGGCGCGTCAAGCTGTAGGAGGTGGGTGAGGCGTGCCATCCACGACGGGTGACCCGGCAAGCGGAGGGAGTGGGAGGTCGTCGTGCGCTTAGCGCAAATGCAGCTGCTCAGCTCCCCTGTCCGTTCCTGCCACGCCAGTGCACAGCTACCCGGATGCCGATTGAGCTTGTCTTGTTGGTGAGACAAAGGAAGGGACCCTGCTTCTGTGGCTAAGCTAATATTTTGTTAAATACCTGCTGTGCTTGCGCTTGCCCGTGTTCCTCCTTGCCGTGCTCACGTGTCCTGGCAGGAATCACCGTGGGCTGCGCCACTACTGGGGCCTGCGCGTGCGTGGTCAGCACACCAAGACCACTGGCCGCCGCGGTCGCACTGTCGGTGTGTCCAAGAAGCGATAAAGATCCTCCTAACACCGTCCCATGTGTAGCAACGTGTCGAAGTCTCAACCATCTGAGATGTAATGCATTTTGCCATATGTACCTATTGAGTTCCTGCTTGGGTTTTACCACTTAGCCTTCCACTAACAACAAAGGCACCACCTCAGTGAAGGAATATAGCTTGGATCTTGACCTGTGAAGTTGGGTAGGAGGAGCTGGAAATAAATAACCGTAGTTGTCACGTGGTAGGTGTTGTGATAAAAGAAAGCGTACTTAAAACCACAGGCTAAAACAGCAGGGGGGGGGGGCTTCAAGAGCGCCGTTCTTGAAGATGGCTCTTTTGGAAAAAATGCGGGTTCCCAGCACGATTATGCGAGGTGCGTTTTTGGGCAGCTGAACAATAATAGAAACGCATTGGCGCCGATTTGACGCGTGTGAGCCGACTCGTCTTGGATAAAACTGACGATGGCTCACCCTGTTTACGTTGCAGTGCAGTGTGTGCATGCAGCTCTTAAAGAAGCTTAGGACACTAATTAAACTTAGGAACCTAGCTTAGCTAGGATGCAAGGAATGGCGCCATGGAATGGCGTGAGGAAGGCCGATCTAGGAGTAGGCAAGGAATGTCGAGAAAGAAGAGAGATCGATTAGGACGAGAGAGCAGTACAAGGTGCTCAAATTATATTTTATATAATTATGGGCTTAGTAGTTGTGCTACTGCATCATACTGTAGAGGGGATAACTCCCCTTCTTGTACCTGTTTCTCTTCTAGTTGTTCTTTCTCGACATTCCTTGCCTACTCCTAGATCCACTTTCCTCACGCCATTCCATGGCGTCCTTCCTAGTATCCTAGCTAAGCTAGGTTCCTAAGTTTAGTTCCTATCCTAAGCTTATTTGAGATGGTATCAGAGCAGGAGGTCCTCCCTGCTGGACCGCCTACTCACGCTTCTCGCGCTGCCATGGCGCCCGTGTCGTGCCGCTGGCCGAGTCGTGCAGCGGCCGTCGCGACGCGCTGCCGTGACGTCGCGCTGCCGGGGCGTCTACGTCAAGCCGTGGCGTCGCGCTGTCGCGGCGTCTACGTCAAGCCGTGGCGGCACTGTCGACGCGCTCCCGTGGCGTCGCGCTGTCGTGCCGTCGCTTCCGCTGCGTACTTCCCTGTTTGCCGCCGTCGCGGCCTTCCTGGTGCCTGCCGCCGTGGCATCTTTTCCAAGATGCCGCGGCGGCCTTTGTGTGGTGTCGTCGGCCTGTTTCCGTCGCACATCACCTGGTGCGACCGTCGCAGCACGCAGCCATGGCGACGCCGCCGACGTCAGGCCGTGGCGGCGTGACGGCGCCGTCGTGCTGACGTCGCGGCGTCGACGTCCCGCTGCAGTGCCGACGCCGCTCTTTGACGGCGCCGTCGGGCTGCAGCCGACTCTGCGACGCCGGTGACGCTGCCGCCGCCCACACGCCGCCATCCGCCCCTCCTCCCCGCCCCACCTCTTCTCCTTGTGTCCCCTCTCCCTCCTGCCGCAACTGCTGTCTTCGTCTCGGTCATCGCCAGGTCGTGCCACACCGCCGAGAGCCCTCAGCCGTCGCAGTCGCCGCCTGTCCTCATCACCGCAGCCGCCTTGAGCACGAGCTCCGCCGCTGTCGTCATTGAGGCCGCCCAGATGCGGCCAGCTGCCTCTCGTCCGAGGGTGTCATCGCCTAGCATGAGGGGTCGATACTCGGCTGCTTACGAGACTGAGGGGGTCCGGGGTTTGGGGGTGTGTGTGTGGGTTGAGTGGGCTTGCCACTACCAAGCCTAGGGGGTGTGTTCAAATTATATTTTATATAATTATAGGCTTGGTAGTTGTGCTACTGCATCCTACTGTAGAGGGGATAACTCCCCTTCTTGTACCTGTTTCTCTTCTAGTTGTTTCTTCTTCTTTCTCGACATTCCTTGCCTACTCCTAGATCCACTTTCCTCACGCCATTCCATGGCGTCCTTCCTAGTATCCTAGCTAAGCTAGGTTCCTAAGTTTAGTTCCTATCCTAAGCTTATTTGAGACAAGGAGGGGATTGTACCCTCTACAGAAAGGTTCAGTAACAACCTACCTACCAAGCAGGCCCTCAGATTCGTTTTAGGCCACGCTGATTGATCAGTGTCGATCGCAAAAAACACCATGAAAATCAGTTTTTGGTAGTGATTTCTTACTGGTTCGCCTTGGTTCTTTCCTTTTTAAGGCTGATTCATCAGGCATCCAACAAACTCAAGATGACATGCACAGAAGATGTGGATGGTGATTTAAATTCCAGTTTTCACCATGGCGGGGCTTTGCTAAAATTACGCCCCAATTTTCCCAATTTTCAGCACCTATATGTTATTCTTCACTTGGCACCAAATGCTCTAGGTTGGCAGGTATGCTAAAGAGTCCAATACCCTTCCAACAAACTCAAAGTGTCATGCATAGACGATGTGGATGGTGATTTAAATTCCACTTTGCACCGTGGCGGGCTTTGCTAAAAATACGCGTCAAAGTTCCAAACATTCAACACCTACAGTCTATTCCTTCAATTGGAACCAAAAGTTCTAGGTTGGCAGGCATGCTAAACAGTCCATAGCCCATCCAACAAAGTCAAAATGACATGCAGAGAAGATGTGGATGTTGATTTAATTCCACTTTTCACCATGGCGGGGCTTTGCAATTACACTCCAACTTTCAGCACCTATATGTTATTCTTCACTTGGAACCAAAAGTTCTAGGTTGGTAGGTATTCTTAACAGTCAAAAGCCCCTCCAGCAAACTCAAGATGTCATGCAGAGAAGATGTGAATGGTGATTTAAATTCCACTCTTCACCATGGCGGGGCATTGATAAAATTACGGCCCAATGTTCCCGATTTTCACCACCTATATGTTTTTCTTCACTTGGCACCAAATGCTCTAGCTTGGCAGGTATGCTAAAGAGTCCAAGGCCCTTCCAACAAACTCAAAGTGTCGTGCATAGAAGATGTGGATGGTATCAGAATAATTGAATAATGGTAAAGTGAGAGTACACACAAATATATCTAAGTTTTGTATCCTCTAAGAGGTGACTCTATACAGTCTATACAAACATGACAAATACACATGTTTGACACACCCCCTAGACTGCATAGGGGAATACCCTAAACAAGCAGCTCAGGGCGGCACTACTAGTCCAACCTCTGAGACAAGGGTCTGAGCGACCGGTCAGAAGGAGTACAGACAAGGCAAGCACAAGAGCAGGGCGGCACTACTAGTCCAGCCACTGGGAGAGGACACAAGTCCAGTCTGAGTATACATATAAAGGACAGTACAAAGTCAAGGTCCTAGCAAGTGAGAGGCTACAGGAACTAGACCAAGCTGTACACAGTGCCGCTGATGATCTTTAGGCGCAAGCGCCTTCGTAAAGATATCAGCCGTGTTGGCACCTGAGGCCAAGTGTACTACGCGAGCCTGACGTCGCTGCTGTAGCTCACGAAGGAGGAAGTACCGCAGCTGATTGTGCTTCGCTCTGCCCTCGAGTCGAGGCTCCTGACACAGGAGGATCATGGCCCTGTTGTCAGCGAACAGGACCGGGGCAGAGCTAGGTCGCTCACCTAAGTCAGTGAGCAAGAAGGTCAGCCAGCGGAGCTCCTGTGCCGCCATGGCACCGGCGTAGATCTCAGCCTCACAGCTGGACTGTGCAACAGACGAGGAGCGAGTAGCTCTCCACGAGACGGCACCTGAGCCAAGGCTGAAGCAGTAGCCCTGGGTAGACCGGAGTGTCTCAGCGTCGTCTGCCCACGAAGCGTCTGTGTGCCCAGTAAGGACCGCTGGCCTGCGTCCGCCTAGCACTAACCCCATGCCCGATGTACTAGCAAGATAACGCAGAACCCTCTTAGCGGCAGACCAGTGCTGCGGTCGGTGTCTGCCTGTGGCCACAAAGCGAGCCAGGATGCTGAGAGGGTATGCGAGATCTGGGCGAGTGCAAGTCATCAGGTACATGAGGCAACCCACCAGCTCTGCGTAGGGGCCGCTGGGCTCTACCAACTCCTCAGGCACTGGAGCGGAGAGCCTGTGGTCTACAGGCAGAGGGGTGGGCTGTGCAGAGGAGAACTGAAGGCTGAACCTCTGAAGGACCTGGCGCACCAAGTGTGACTGAGTCAGGGTGATGGGGCGCGCAGCTCTGTCCCTGGAGATCTGCAAGCCAAGGTAACGGCGCATTTCTCCAAGGTCAGTGCAGGTGTGTCTCTTCAGCAGCTCTGCCTTCACGGAGGCCAGCGCGTCCCTGTCTGCTGTGGCAAAGACCAGGTCGTCGACGTAAACGAGGATGTAGAACGGAGTCTGGCCAGCACGAACGAAGAGTGAAGGGTCTGCAGAAGACGGAAAGAACTGCAGGTCAGCAAGCGTAGCACGCAGAGTGTCGTGCCACTCACGGGGAGCCTGGCGCAGGCCGTAGACGGGGCGCCGCAGAAGCCACTGGGTCCCAGGAGGGAAGGTGCCAGTAAAGCCCGGAGGGCGGCGCAGGTAGACCTGCTCGTGTAGGCTGCCCTGAAGGAAGGCAGTGGAGAAGTCGAGGGAGTGAAGCTCGTAGTCACGCTGAGCAGCTAGGTGTAACAGAACCCGAAGAGTAGTCATCTTCGGGGTCGGAGCGAAAGTCTGGAAGAAGTCCACCCCCTCGCGCTGACTGAAGCCTCTAGCCACATAGCGCGCCTTGAAGACAGGCGGCTCTCCAGGAGGGCGCTTCACCTTGAAGAGCCAGCGGCCATCGACTACGTTCACCCCAGGTGGGGGAACTGCGTCGACGAAGGTGCCGGTGGATCTCCAAGATGCGATCTCCTGCTCCATGGCAGCTATCCACTGCGAGGCCCAGGGTCCCGAAGTCGCCTCAGCGTAAGTGCGAGGGGTCGGGATGTCGAAAGCGTCTGGGTCACCCTCAGGGACTAGCAGCATGGAACAGAGATGGGGAGCAGCCTCGGAGAGGAAAGCAAGCTCGAACTGGCGGTCCTCCAGGACGTCACTGCCAAGGGCAGGAGCACCCCCGACAGACGGAGGACAGGCAGGGTCAGAGACCAGAGCGGTGGAGTAGTCAAGGCGGCGGGTAGAGGCGAAGTCAGCGACAGCAGCGACAAGAGCGTCAAGGCACAAGACTGGAACAGACGGGTCGGTAACGAGAGAGGCAAGGACCTGAGGAACGAGAGGACGAGCGGCACGAAGGTAGTCGGACAGCGGGGGGGGCGCAACAACAAGGGAGGACGGAGGAGGCGACGGCAGAAGGGAAGGACGAGACGCGTGGGAACGAAGCAACATAG